CTGTCAGATATTCGCTATCATATTAGCAGCGGTTTCTACAGATTTTGCTGCAGTATGTTCGGAGAGGCAGTTCGAGTCCTACTGGTTCTTGAAATTCGGTGTTAAAGCTTCCATCGCTGGCGATCATCGATCGACTATGGCAGAACTTGGTGGCACACTGCACATCTTTCCCGTAAACGTGCATATTGACGTGAAATGAGGACTTGGCACTTTGATGACTTCGGTTTCAGCTCGTACCTAGTGTTGGCTGCTTCCAAGAGGCGCCAATGCCTTCTGGAGTATTTCCAGCTTCGATGTCGTCAACATGATCCAAATCGTGTAACCGGTGTCTTGACGGATGCCATGGCAGTAGAGTGCCTAAGAGATCGGTTTCGAAATCGGTAGGTACCGGATTCGATTCGATGGGGACAATCTTCATCTTAAACACGAATTTTTTAGAGCAAGCAATTTAGCGCACGTTGCTTCAGACCAGAATTGCTCAGTCGGTAGAGCGTTGTGCTCAGAACGGGCATGTTTCGGGTCCTTGCCCCGATGAGGGTCACTCGTCTTTCTTCTTTTCGAGGTTGATAAATGAATACCACTCTGTGGGAAGAAAATAGGAGATCTACACTGTGCTTGTCACAACTGTGTACACGTCACTGCAGACTCTGATATTAACATAAGGCACTTCTGGCTGATGACATGGAAATTGGGATCAACTATTGACTTGATTGACAAGAAGGGAATCAGAATGGTTCCATCACGAAAGTGTAGAGAAGACATTCCAGCGGTTACAAACTTTCCTTTCTTTCATTTAATGGAAGGAATGTCATTTCACTATCAAAGTTCGAAATTGCTTCCGTATTCACGGCGTCGAAGCGTTTTGGACTGTTATGCTAAAAGGTTTATGACATCAGTTGATACATTTGCGATGAAAGGCAGTCAGGTTTAATGACATACGCATACGGCTTGTACTCCTTAACGGTGCTACCGTTAATTGCCTTATTATGGTCTTATTAATAACTGATACTGAATGCGGCGGACTCGGTAAAATAATCGTACGATGTTAACGTCACTAGCATCTTCGACCATGAATGAAATTCACTAATGCTATTATTCCTCAATTTTTTGTTTTTTAATGGCCATGCTAACTTAAATTGATTTAAATCGATTATATTGTTCCTGTTGCCTAATGATTGCACATTAATCTGTACAAGTACTCTACCAGTAACCTTACGATCCAAGAGTTTACTCTGACTGTTTCTCGAAATGTTAAATGTTAAACTGGATGGTTTAAATTGAGTGAACACCAAATGGTTCTTGCATCTATAAATCTATACAGGAACTGTTATAAGCTTGAAATTGTTCTCTATTTAAAGTGTCGAAGCCTTCGGAACGCGTAAAAACTGACATCACACCACTTAAAAACATGCTTGGTGTTTTTGCAGAAAAATCGCTCATCAATTGCTCGTTGAAAAAAGGGAACCGTTTCTGATCCGAAAACTCGGTCACTAAGTAAAGAACGGTTCCAGGCTTGTGGTGGTTTCTGTATTGATTTGGATGTGTAAACTTATTCCGAATTCTGAGCAGAAAGTTCAGTTCAGATTTATTTGTCTGAATTCTTTCAGTAGAATAAGCAGCCTGTCAAGTCATCATGGGATGACTGACAAATATCAACAATGATAGATGTGGCAATCTTTATACAGACTGTGACAAACGAGCAAATGATCCAAATTAGAAAATTTTTCAACGCTCCGACAGAACACAGTCCAGGAATTTTCTGAACGTAAACAGAATTGGTCAGTTCGTTTGAATACTTTGGAACGACGTTCGACCTCTCACCGGCACGCGTCTGTGTCCCACTGCGCACTTATCTCTGCCATGCGTTACGCTGGTTCATCTCCTTAATCGGTTTATTGGTATCACAGCTTTATAACTGAACATTCACCTACTCAATGCGGCAGAGGGGAACAGAAAATCAAAGCATCTTTGGGTCGCTGACGCTGAAGCATCCAGCGATAAAGTGGAACGACGAACCGACCAGAAGAACAGCATATATATAAGCACATATCGTAAAAGGACCGAGTGAAGCGTGAGCAAAAGTAACGTTCGTGTTTTTGGGTGTAATCATTGAGATCCATTAGTTTCAAATAGGTCAGCGGAATTGCAGAATATTTATTTTTAGCGCGGGAAACAACGTATTTCGCTGACAGGTTACATCCTTGTCGGTGTGAGTTTCGCCATCGCCCTGATTACGTCAGTCCTCTGCTTTACGTCGTTGATCTCGTGGCTACTGTTTGTCTTATGTCTTTCTTATCAGAAACTTATCCTGACCATCATTAAATACGTACCTCAGGTACTGTTTACAAACCTTGACGGTTATGCGCATGCGAACTTACGTATTTAGTTGTACCAAAACTATAAAAGAAGAAGTACCGTTGGATGGAGTATCGAACAGATCATTCTGGATTTCGTTGGTGGCGTTGCCAGCATTCTCCAAATGATTGTTCTGGCGTACAATCACGGTAAGTTCTCACGACTAAAAAACAATTACGTTAGGCGTTTTTTCTAGATGACTGGGTCCACATTTTTGGGGACTTCACTAAGTTTGGTCTGGGCTTGATTTCGCTGCTGTTTGACATTGGATTTATATATCAGCACTACGTACTGTACCGCCCGTTGCGCAGTGATAATCCGGACCCTTCAATAATGCTACCAAAACTGTGAAGAGGTTTGATTGAAGAGAAAATCATAGAAGACGCGTTGATCTTCTTAGGACGCTTCTCGATTCTTCTGCAAGCAGTAGAATTACATGTCAATAATTTGAACAAGTAAATAATGAAACGCTTTCTTTGCTGACTCCGGCGTCATTACTGAAAGAACTAATCAAACCTTGTAGAGAACAGTCGTCATAATGATTTGCTTGGGATAAGAACACCAAAACTAATTGTACGAACGGGAAGGCATATAGTAGGTATGATAGGATAGGATAGGACGAATGCCAAAACGTGCTGTGTAATTCACGATTCCAGTTCGGTTTAACCGTCAATTGTTTCGCTGAGTTCGCCGTTTTTTTGAGGCCGAGGTCATTTAGGTCACGCTGATTCACATCCCCCACTAGTATACACGGACTATTATTTACTACGGAGGCACCTTAATAAGTAGCTACTCCATAAAGATATCAAATATATTTTTGAGACAATTAAGCGAGATGTAGATATTGCCTAGCATCACACTAAAATATACAGGTACACTACATTATACAGGTAGATATCGTAGGCAGCATTTCAAGATAAGGCACTGCAAATGCTGTTGAAAAAGAAAGAAAACCATACAGACGAATTTGGCGTCCATGATCTGTCCACCCATAAGTCATAACACCACCATAACATGCATTTTTGAAGAGTGGTCCGCCCAGCTGGAAACAGTCATAATAATTATCGATGGCTACAATTCTGTTGTCAACAAACAAGAAAAGCCATTATTTTTGGATTATCAGTGCGCATGCATTGCGGTTACTAGCAGGCTCAGCAAGACAAACAGTCCATCAGATTTTGGAAGGGAAGATCTGAACTTGCTAGAAAGCCGAAATGGAATTTTCACTTCTGCCGGTGATGCCTTCCTAGCAGTTGCCTGACAGCCAGATCTTCGACATCGTCTGGTCTTTCGATGAAGCAACCCAGCAGGACGGAATGTTGGAGGCGATGGCATCGTAATGGTGAAGTACAGAAGTTGTCGAGAGCCGAGTGACAAATGCTGCAATTCAATGCGCATCGATTGTTCAGATTGTCGCGCGAAGGCACAACGCGAATTCACCGCTCAGTTGTACGTCCTTCCCCAACAACCATGTGTAGAAAGGGTAATTTCTGTTACAGAACCTTTCCCATGAGCCAAAAGTAGAGTTGTTGAATATCAGTGAGATGCAGCTTATAATAGAATCTAGCCCTTTACCACTGTTTAACAAGCGCACTGCAGTACAGCGATAAAATCAATGCAATGAGTGAAAGATAAACTTACTACCATGCCTGCACATACTGAAATATTCTGTTAATTCCTAACATTCAATTATTTACTATTGTTCACCTGTGCAGCATCATGCACAAGCAGATCGCTATCGAAGTCCGATTTGGAGACACGTTGTTGAAAATCAGTGAATAATACCGAATCCAGCTGAAAATTACTTATAGAGCGAAAACGATGCGATCTTATGTCATGTTTCATGTGAATTGATGGGAAGTTCAGTAAATTTTTTCCTTCAAAGTTTGGAGTACTTCAGCGAGAAGTTTAGGCTCCTCTGCTGTTTGCCATGGTTTTTACTGGGTCCTGCAACAAATACGAAAGAGCAGAGATACGACTGTGCCTAAAGTCAGCAACATCTCATCTCTCTTGCATTTGCGAGTATCGTATTGCTAGCAGACAACTTCGATCCCGTGACATACTCGTTTCTAATTCTGAAACACGTTCTGATCTGGGTTTCTTGATTAAATTTAAAGAAGATAAATTGGCTGCAGATGGACAAAAACCAGTCCAATGACTTATCCTTGATACTAGTGACCTCGCAGAAAAACGTACCGCAATGATCCGTTGACCGAAATGACAATTTAAAATTTTCACTGTTGATTAAACTTCCCCTGAAGGTTCATACAACTTTAGTAGTTGATCCAGTCACTTAATGGTTATCCGCTGTAACAGATCCTATTGTAGGATGTTCTGCTGAAAGATAAACTTAACGCTTTATTAATGTGCAAAATTTTTCCTGGACATGCCAAGCGATATTCACTTTTAAATTTTGCCTGAAAAACAGTTCAGATGTTTGACATCGACAAGCGAGTAATGATAAGAAGGCTCATGTCTCACCTAGACTTAGAAAGACGACATGCTTTCTTCTCAATCTCGATATCATCAAACTAAAACTTCTATAACCTAACCACTGGATCGACCAGTTGACAAGACTTTACGTTCTCAAGAAATACCTTGTTGAAAATCCAATGAAGAAGGTCCCTTTGCTTAACATGATCACCTCACTAAACGGTGGTTACCAGGTATATTAGGGGTGAATACCACCTATATAAGTGAACGATCAAAGAATCGCCAATTTGCAAGTGCAACGATGTGCAAACAGCGAAACAAATCATGGACCACGGTCACATTACAATGAACACCGAAGATCAAAAGAGCCATTAACTCCAACAAAGTACAGCTACTACTGGAACTATTAGAACAACTGAACAACGCTATGCCATAGTTAAGAAGCTAAGCAACTTGTGCTTTCTTCTGTGCAAATTTGTGAATGTGTGTCTATATAGGTACCAATAAATGCTATCTAACTGATACCCACATGCCGTGGAAACATTCTATTGAAAGTTTATTTCATTAAAACTGCACATCGGGTTCCAGGGTTTGTCATAAAGTCGGCAGCATGGACTATAAAACTGGTAAAACAACAATTATTACAGTGTATCACAGTAAAATATATGAAAAAGACAGTACGCATATTTATGAATAAGCTACAACATTCGCAAAAGGAAGCAAATACAAACGGTATAAAACAGCACTGCATTTAGATCTTGGCATGTCTTATTTTACTAACTGCTCGATTGAACTGCCGAATGATGCAGTCGTAGGCTCGTAGTTTGAAAACCGATAAAAAACATAATGCTGCAGTATGAACAGAATATCGAACAACAGCGATATGAAACCAAGGCCGAATTTGGTAAAGTCACCAAATATTTGTTGCCAGTCATCTAAAAAACACCAATATATTAAACTGTTTGTGCATCTTGGAATTAACGTAATCTGAGTCTTTCGTAATCTGTTTCAAAGAACAGCAGCAAAGCAGCTAATGGGGCAATGGACACATTCACCAGACATCACACTTTTTCGAATTCAAGAGAAATAGCTGAACTCCATTCTGTCCTGAGATGCTATCTATTCTTAGACTTAGTGTTTATCGATATTACTGTCGAGAAATTTTACTTTTAAAGAAAGAGAAAGGAAAGTTTGTGACCGCTAAAATGTCGGTCTTCCTTACAATTTCATTACGGGGGTTATTTCTGGCAACCTTCTTTTCATGATCTGATCTCCAATTTCCGTTTCCCTCCCACACAGAAGTACTTATTTATCAACTTTGGAAGAAAGAAATGTGAGTGACCCATTGCAGCTCAAACATGGAGCCTGACGGTTCTACACTACCGACGAGCAACCCCGGATTTACTTTACTTAGTTTTATTTTTACCATACTGTTGTTTGTCAAAGCTAAATTCTCTGGTGAATTTAATGAACGCATTCAAACAGCAAATCAGTCATTTACTACGAGCGGTTTATGCCTTTACCCGCAAAATATAGTGCCGCAGTAAAACGCAATGAAAAAAGCTAAGCGAGAACTTTTATAGAATTTTGCGTAGGTTGGCAAAGAAAAATCATAAATTTTTAATATTTATCTGAACATCATTACCCAAATGGCCACTGAGTTCCTAATCATTGGTTTTCTTTTGAATATCAATATCCAACAGAAATGTATGTTCACCAATAAAAGTTTTCCTCAGTACTTGTGAAACTACCCCAGAGATGTCCAACTCTGGGTTTACATGGCATAATCCTACTCAGCACAGAGATGTGATTTCGCACCCATGCACTGCAAATGCTTCAGTGACATGTAATGAAGCTACAACATGCTTAAATGCTTCCTGTGCCTCTAGAAGCAAGAGGCCGCGACAGTATCGTGGAAATTCGGCAAAAAACATGTATTGCTAACCGTCGCAGGTATTATTTCACTTGTTTAGCTTCACTGAACAGCGAGCACAAACGAACTGAATGCCGTCATAACAAAATGGCATGAAAGAGAATTGTTTTAGATGAATATTTAAACTTTTACCATGATTGTACGCCAGAATCAACATCTGAAGAACGCTCATCATGCCACCAGTGAAATCCAGCAACACGTTGCCAATACTCCAGCCAATCGTACTTTTTCGTCGGTAGTTCGAATAAGCCTCAAAATAACGTCAATTAAACATGTAAAGCCTATCGAAATTAGTAATTATACCTGAGGAATGTACTTGATTAACGTGATTATGAGCTTCACGTAAGACAGAAACAAGACGAATAAAAGCCAGCTAAGAACATGGGCAAATGCAGTGGCCATGGAAATCAGAGCGAACAACCATCCGATGGACAGAAGAACCAAACACGTGATGGACAAACGTTGGCCGCCACGCTAAAAACAATTACTCATACACCTACAGTCGACAACAGCACGGACACAAACAGAAACATATCTGACAGGTATCAGTAAAAGACATGACAGCTGTCCCTTTGTTATGGCGGATATGAGTTGAGCAAAGAGAAGTTACAGTTCACAGGTTATCAGATAACTGGGAACCAGAAAAAATTCATGGTGTCGGCTATCAACATAACAGAGGTAAGTTTCGTGCAGTATGTTGAAACGTTCGTACTTTATCTTGCGAACGTAACTTGGATAATGTTGCCCGACCGCCTTAAATATAGGGGCAATTACTCCTCGTTGCATTATTCAGGGAAACGTTTACAAGTCCACATTTAACGAAAGTACATGGAGCGTTTCTACAACTTCCGTTCCTCCATTCTCAATTAACTGCGGAGCAATTAGATCCAACCTGAAGGTCCTCTTCATCTTGAAATATGGCAAGGCTTTCTGAACATTTAGTTTTGTCGGTGGGTTTGAACTCATCTTTAATGCTGGCAGACAATGAAAGGTAGAAAAATGACGAATCTGGACAATAGCAGCTGAGCAGCTGTCGGAAATGCTCAATCCACGTCTGATGCGTTCCTTCTGACCTACAAATGGAAGATATTGGCATAATTAGCTTGGACAAGAAATGAGTCGCCTGCTTAGGGGGCAATTGCCGAATCAACTCCATCACTGTCTGCCAGTCACCCTTTTGGTCGCCTCGTCGATATTCTAGAATTTCGCTTCAACGAAAGTTAGCTTTCCTGCACGTGGCTCTGGTTGAATGCACAGACGAGAAAAGATGGGTTGCCTCCAGTATGCAGTAATGTGCCAAGTACTTTTTTTCTTGCCTGGCTCGTTTGCACTCTAAGGGCTAAGGTCCTTGCTGTAACCCAGGGCAGTGTGACTATCCTCTGGCTGACCTAAACTACGTCTTTCGCCAAAGAAATGACACATCTGAAACCTTAGTAAGTTTAATTGACTTTGCCATTTTCCAATCAGGTACAAAGGATGGAATCAAAACAACTTTCTACCTTTTTTGGTAGGACGACCGCGCTGTCTCATCATATGTTAACCTGTTAAAATAGAGACGGTGATCAAACGGTGTTAATCAACCATGCAACGCGACTAACTTTAGATGAAATTCGCTACGACTATATGGTGACTGAACCCAATGCATCAGCCACGCCTTACACGGTCCAGTGGTAAAATGGTCCAGTCGGTTGCTTAAGCTTCCACTGAGAGACGTTCAAGTAAATTAAGAAATGCGCTTATGAGTGAAAAGGGTCAATCAAACGATTATCCGGCTTGTTGCACAAATTTTTAACGGAAAAACCGAGGCGGCAGCTGATGCCAGGCTTCGCCAAAATCAACCAGGATTCCGGATTGGGTAATCCTACCACAACCAAATTTTTATTTTTTGTATGATAAATGAGCAATGCTGACGATTCTGTTGCCCTAAATGGACTGTTTCTTCGACTTCAAGGCTGCATTTGATTCAATAATTTGTCAACTGAAAGGAGAATCTTAAAATATTATGGGATACTTCAACGCATAGTTTCCCTTTTTAGAAGAGACATATGCAGGAACCATGTATTTTCTCAAAGTCGAAAGAGAGCTATCTGAGTGATTCCCTATTAACAGCATAGTTAGACAAGAAGCGCTTTCGCTTAGGCTATTCACTAATATTTTCGACTTTCGTCTCTGAAACAGTGTAGACAACAGAAAAGGCGAAAGTCTGAATTTACAGGGAAGGTACAGCTGAAGATACCCGGCTACATATCCTGCTGACTCGGTAGGCAGATGATATTGTCCTTGTGAGCAGTATAGGCAGCAGGCTTCGTCACCTGACAGCTTCCGTATGCAATAAAGTTGCGAAAGCCAACCTCATCCCTAACGTCAAGAAATCAAAAGTTATGAGATACCCATTTAGCACAGCTAAATTACAAGTGGAACATGGAAGTGAAGCGCTTCTGGGGTTCACCAATTTAAGTAGCTCGGCTCCACTATGTATAATGGCACCATCCAGCCAGATTTAATAGGTGGGTCACCCTTGCATCGAGTGCGTTCGGAAACTTATCCAACATTTGGACTGGGAGAGAAGTATCTATTTCCTTCTGTACCACGCACCTTTCAGGTCAGAGTTGCTGTATGGCTGGAGAGAAACAGTTATTCTGCCGAAGGAGTAAGAATGACGACAGAACTACGTACAACAGCGTTGGCTTCGACGCATAATGAAGATTAAATGGCAGAACCAGGAAAGGAACGACTCTATTCTCTAACAGGCACAGGTGACTGCAGTAGATGATAAGATTTAAAAAAGAACATTTGCCCTGCATGGTCATCTGATTGAGCATAAACCTTTTACTTCAGCCCATGAACTTCCTGAAGCATGGCACACACAGAAGAAAAGATCAGCATGCAACACGGAGGAATAAGGCAGAGACACTTCTACCTTCGAATCGGAATGTTTCTACGATGCAGTAACTAGCGCCTAATATCAGAAATGGTGAAACGCTGCAAATACGGGATACGTCACAAACCAAACGTGCTAACGCAAACGGCTATAGGTGATAATCTCAACCAACACAACATAGATATGACTGCAAAAATTCCAGAATGTGACATTACAATAAAAAGTACGGTGAACATACGTGCGATAAGTGGTAACCTTTGTCTTCAAAAGAATGGACGCAAACACTATGCCAAAATCTTGACAAGAATAAGTGGTCGAAAGACTAGTCAAATTACCGAATACAGAGAAAGACTATATTCAGGACCAAAAAGAACAGTTAGTGTCAGTAGGTAATTAGAAAAGGAAGGTACCGGAAATGCACATCGAAACGCTGCATTAGTTTTTTTTCAACCGAGCATTTTCCTCATTTACGCACTAATTTTTTTCGGCCGTGCAAGTGATTTGCAATCTCCTGGTACTGCCTAAGATAATTTTTTGCAGCAAGACAAGTATTGGGCAAATAATAATCCGAAGCGAAGGAACTTATAACAAAAACTATATCAATAAACGGATCATTCGATCATGTTAATCTGATTTTCCAGTCACGCTGACACACCAGTTAAAGCAATCTTCCTATTGTACCTCCTGTTCTTGATCCAAGACATAAACGGTGGTTATTCTGTTCCATAGCGACGTTTTCCAGTCGCAGGCAGATCGAAAAAATAATGAGTTAAGTAGAATCGTTACAAAGCCGTCCCATTCCTACCGGACGTAGCTGCGCAGTCTAGCAGCCTTTCGATCGTTGGCTACGCGTTCACAGTAGAGATGATTTAATAACACTAGGCTATACATTTAAGAGAGCATAGTTCAAAGACTACACTGACTGGCAAAACAGAAGTTCACTGGTTTTGAGAAGAAACGTGGGTACTTGGAACCTTCCAACAGTTCCATGCTGACCTGTATAGCGGACCTAACCTGACGTACAGCGCAAGGAAGGTAACTCTGCAGCTTCAGGTCAAAATCAAATGAGGCAGAACAAGCGTTCTTTCTGTCGTCATAAAATGACTTCGCCACTCGATCACTCAATCGCCATACTTCAACTTCTTCAGGACTACACTTAAACGTGACAAATAAACGGATCAAAGTTCCACTTAAAAGCTGCAAAGACCAATTTTATACTTAAAAACCATAACAGTATAATACCACAGCGCGAAAATTCCTCGGCATAGCATAAGTTCTGAAACAAGTATAGAAAATAAATGAAATTTGCTACCTCATAGAAGAAACATTGTATGATTGTGACCGACGTGGCCAGTAAAGCGTGTAAAGCGAATACCACGTCGTTTATCTGCACCGGGTTGACCCCATGCGGCAAAGCGGCGAAATACTGTGTCTAAAGGAGGCATACCGCAGGAATCGCAAAAGGCAAGCATAAACAGGATAAAATAATACCTGCACAGTGGGGATAAAATAGAAAGCACAGTTAAAAATGGCGTAAAACAAAAATCCGGTGAAATTGAATGCAAGAAAATCGAAATTCAGCCCAACGACACTAAAAT